TACTAAAAACTTATTATAAACAAACACAAAACAAAACAACAACCAAAAATGGATAGGAGTATGTTAAAAAGACAGAAGAGCTGACCTGAGAGCTGCCAATGGCCAAAGCTGGAATAGTTTAAGCAACAAAATAAATAATGTAGCATTGGATTAATAACCCAAAGTATTAAATAAATATATATATATATGAGTCCATACTGCTATAAATAAATGACTTAATAAATAAATGGGGAAAAGAGACAAATCTTCCTTATAGAAGAATTCCAAAGAATATATGTAGCTACTCCCGTTTCCAAGACAAAACCAAAAAACCTGTTGCCATCAAGTCAATTCCAACTCACAGTGACCCTATAGTACAGAGTAGAACTGCCCCATAGGGTTTCCAAGGAGCAGCTGGTGGATTCAAACTGCTGACCTTTTGGTTAGCAGCAGAGCTCTTAAGCACTGTGCCACCAGAGCTCCCCTTCCAGGACACGGGGCTTAATTCCCATCCCTACCCCTACCCCCGAAGGTGGGCTAGAGGTGGTGACTCACTTCCAAACAACAGAGTAGAGAAAGGAGAAAATAGTCACTTCACAGTGGAGAAACCTGGCAAAACACTGCCTCAGCCAAGTGATAAAGGTTAACCTCACCAAGGATATCATGTACCCCAATAAAAATGTGATGAGAAGGGCATTTCGCCTCTGTGGTATTCTTTCCAAAAACCTGTAACAACAGTCTAATCGTGAGAAAAACGTCAGAAAAACCCAGATTGGAGGACATTCTACAGGATACCCAGCCAGTATGCCTCAAGCCTGTCAAGATCATGAAAATACAATGAAAAAAACAAGAAACTATCACAGACGAGAGGAGACTGGGGAAACATGACAACTAAACACAGTACACTGGATTGGATCCTGAAACAGGCCATTAATGGGAACGCTGGTGAAATCCAAATAATGTCTGGGATTGAGTTAATAATAATGCATCAATGTCAATTTCTTAGTTTTGACACACATACCATGGTAATGTAAGATGTTTTCAATGGGGAAACAAGGTGAGAGGTACAGGGAAACTCTCTATACTATCTTTGCAACTTTTCTGGAAATCTAAAATTATTCTAAAACAAAAAGTTAATTTAAAAAATTACTATCACCGGAGGAAGAGAATTTCTTGGAATTACTGGAGGCAGAATACAAAAGATTAATATACAGAACTCTTCGAGAGATCAGGAAGGAAATTAGGAAAAATGCGGATGATGCAATAGAGGAACTTAAGAAGATTAGAGAAGAGCATAATGACAAATTTAACAGGCTGCAAGAATCCATAGACAGCAATCAGAAATCCAGAAGATTAACAATAAAATTTCAGAATTAGACAACTCAATAGAAAGTCATACGAGCAGAACTGAGGCAATGGAAGTC